CACGATAAAACCCTACTTCTTGTATGTAATTTAATATTATAAACATGAAAACTAATGTACACCCTAGTTTATATCGCATGAAACTCAAAGCAAGGACATGGATTAAAATAGAACCTATGCTCTATAGTTATCCTAGACTACGAAACATATACTATGATATTAATTTTGTCATGACCCCAAAAGTGAGCCATGATCGGTGTGAGAATCGAGGGAATTGTGATGCCTATCCCAACTCAAGCAAGTCTTGGATACTATTCTAAAATACTTAAATATCATTTCATCTTACAATATTATTATCTGACGAGTCATCACATTATATTTCTAACACAAATCATAATTTAATGTTATCCTTGCATTTCTCAATCAATATTCATAATTAATTTCTACTAAAATACCTATAAAGCTTCTAAGAATATAACTAAATAAAACATAAGTTCTAAAAAATTATTAAAAAAATAGATAAGCTACGTGGTCAATGTGGCGACTTCAAGACAAGTAGTCGAATGGAAGTAAAAGAGCAATCCGTGAATATCCTATAAAACTAAAATAATGAGGGTTGAGTAATCAACAACTTAATGAGTAGATATTATATAACATACTATGAGAAAGAAACGGACTAAGGATGATTACTTAAAACTCGAATCAAGATGCAATGCTTATTTCTTTTAAAACAAATGCATATCATAAATCAAAATTATACATCATGATTTAAATGGTTTAAAACCATTTTGTATCAAATCATCAACACATTTATACATATGTCTATCATAATCATATGAAATCATATATCTAGGTTCTTATACACTCGTGAGATAAATAACGTATCATTGGATGTGAACACATAAAGGTCACGCCTCGTGACTATGTTTTCATTTATTGGCCGACATACGATATAGCACTTTACCTCTTCAAATAGCTAGAGCCTCGTATCATTGAGCTTAAAGGCTACGCCCGTTATAGCTAGGTCCTCAAGGTCTCAAAAATTGTATAACTTATACTTATTTCAAATTCAGTATTTCAAATGCAATGCGTGCTCTAAATCAATTTGATAGTACAATCTCAAATCAAATTAGCATTTACAAAATTATATGGTTAATCAAAATAGCCGTATAAAATACATTTGTATTCAAATTCATAAGCACATATCAAATCTCTTTTCAAATCATATCTAATAATTTTTTATATGAAATCATTTCAAATACACATGGAGTTCGTTCCCGTCTATATTCTAATGAATGCATTTAAACTATACTTAAACCAATGATGCATGATAGACATAATCAAAGAAATTTAAAAACATAATATACTATATAACATCTACTCATAAGTACAAATCGAAGAATTAGATGGAGTCAATGTTGTTGAGAAGGAGTCATCTCGCTCCGAAGAATCTAATAACACATAATGATGGACAACCATCAATATCATATATCAAAGAATAATTCAAAATAATTGAATTATTCTAGAATTAGGAATACAAGATTATTCATAGGAATAGAATTAAACTAAATTCTATAATTTCTCTAACAATTTTAAACAATTGTCTAACTATATACCATCATCAATCCCCAATTTAATAAACCCTTAAACAATCAATTTCCAGTTAACTCATTCATTCTATTCTATTTCACTCAATAGTTAATCCATTTGCCTTTAATTGCATTTACATAACCTAATTCTTCATTTTCCCCAAATTTGTTCCAATTTAAAATCAAATTTTGGATTTTTCACTATTCATCATCATGAACCTCTTAATTACTCAAATTTTCTTAATTTCACTTCAAATTAACTACATAAACCACTTACCCAAGACCATTAAACATCATTCAAAAAATTAGAATCATTTAATCAAGTTTTTCCTAAATAGATCTCAAAAACCCTAACCTTATTCTAGTCAATTTTTCAAACAAACCATAACCCAATCCAATTCTATTTCAATATCATCATTAACTGCATATACACATCACAATTTAAAGATTAATTAATCAAAAATCTTACCTTTGACACTTTGTTCTTCAATCCTCAATTTCTTTCAAGCTCTAATCTAGTTAAGCATCACTTAAATCTACTTGTTTATGATTTTTCTAAGCTAATTTAACAATGAATTAACTTTGGATTAAAGGAGAGAATTAGGAGAAATTTTGGAGAGAAAGTGGCATGAGAGATGAGAGGAGAAGAAGAAAAAAATTCTGGAAAAAGGATAGTTAATGCCCTTATTTATACCGAACTTAGATTTTTTAAAAAAAACTTAGATATTATTTTTGGGTATTTTATTACACGAAAGAAGAAAATAGTGATGGTTTATATTATCTAATTGGAAAGACGATGATATCGAGAAATGGTTGAGAATGAAGTGCATATGATGGTAGATACCTAAGAAAGGCTATTTGGGAATTGGAAAAGAGACAAGAATTATGTATTGTCAAGGTTTAGACTTATGTGGGGAGAAAGATTTTTTTAAAGAAGAGGATGGATCGATAATACTATCTAGAGTTAATAAGTAAAGTTGACTTTGGACAACTATACTTAGGCATTAGCCATGTTCTTTGAATTGGGAAGAACTTAGGATTGCTTGTTGATACAAGTCATGTGTAGTTCGTAATTAATATTTATCACTTTTTTTTCCATGCTTCTAAATCTCAACTTTAAACCAATCAAAAAAATTTATCTCTTTATGTAAAAATTGGATCTTTATCGATTGATAATCAATAAGAATTGCCAAAAGTGATGTCACACCATATTGCATTAATTAGTTTTCTAATTAACATACAAGTCCCTTTCTTTCTTTCTTTTTTTTTTTGTTTTTTTTTTTTTTTTAAAGAAAATACATACTCTGAATCCCAATTTGGTTAGAGAGGTAAAAACAAAAATCATATTCCTAATAGTCTTAATGGATTTATAAAAAAGAAAAAGAGAAAAATAGGTGAAAGTACTCTTTAAAGAATACTTGAGAAGAAATAACTAATTTAAATATATGGAATAGAGAGTTGTGGGTATATCGAGAGTATATGAGATATTTCCATTAATCTTAATTCTTAAGTTTGAGAGCATTTATTATTATTTTAAAAAAATATTAGAGGATTAAAATGACATAAGTAGTGACATAGCGTAAGGGATACTTGTAATTAGATTCTCGTATAACCTATCAAGTGAGTCTAGAATCTTGAGTTTTCGCGACGTTTAGGTCAAAGTAATACACACAAAATTAGGACTTGAAACGCTAGATAACTTAATCTCTATTGCTATCGAATCTTATAAATGGCTACCTCTCCTACTACCAACTTAATTTCTTTCCCTCTTTTGAATCACTTCTTCGGAAAATCTCTTTCAATCTTGAACAATAAGAAAAAGAAAAAAAAAACTTGTCCTATTAATGTATTGTTCAATTTTTTTTTTCGTTTATTTATTATTCTTTCTAATCCGTTTTAGCTTTTGTAGATCGGTTGTTATTTGTTTGATTTTTTTCTTTTTTGCATTTTACCTCTCTTCTCAATTTATTTAAACATCTAGTGATGACATTATTATATTGTAAAAATAGAGTGAACTTAAATTGGAAAGACAATTATATTGAGAAATGGCTAAGAATGAAGTGCACATGATGGTGATACCTAAGAAGAGTCTATTTGGTAATTGGAAAATAGACAAGAATCATGTATTCTTAAGTTTTAGATGAGTATGAAGAGAAAAATTCTACTAAAGAAGAGAATGAATCGATGATCCTATCTAGAGTTGACAAGTAAAGTTGACTTCGGAAAACTATACGTTGGCATTGGCCGTGTTCTTCGAATTAGAAAGAACTTAGGATTGTTTGTTGATCCGAGTCACGTGTAGTTGGTGAATTTTTAAGCCAATGATTATTTCTATGTTTTTGTTTGTGAGTAAATGGAGCCAACAAACTTTTAGGTGGCATGAATGTTCACAAGATAGAGATTGTTAAGCCTATGACTCATATTTTTTTAGAGTAATGGCCAAATAAATAGAGAGAAGTAATACCTAAATATTTCTTTTCCACCAAGTATTCCTTGTCCATCAAGTATTCTTTGGTCATAAATAGGTGAAGAAATGTGTAGTTTTAATGCGTAAAATACGAGGGTTGAGAGTTTTTTTTTTTAATTGTAAGAGTGGTATTGTAAGAATGGGTGTACAAGAGGCTTTGAAATTCGCTTTTGAGTATAAAAATTACAATCATATTTTTATACTAATTTTTTTCATAATAAAGTACTTTTAAGTTTGTGGAGTAAATATGATTTTATCCAATCACATTAAATCTTGTGTCTTTACTTTTTATTCATCCTTGCTATTTTTTTTCCTACTAAATTGAGTGGGTCGTGATAATGGGTTAAATCTTGAATCCTTAAATTTTAAAATCTAGATTAGATAATGCTATGCATATATGTATCATACAAGTTGATGAAAACAAATCAACTTAGAACACAATGTGTGAAGAAAGAAATCATTTAGTTATTCCACATTGATTATAGAAAAAACTAAACGCTTTAATAATAATATTAAAAAAAAGTTTTTTTATTAAATTATCTTTTGAGGTTAGAAAAAACTCAATATCAACCAATACTTTTATATACACCTAATAATTTCGTCCGAGAAATCGAGGCTGTGAGTGGAGGCACTGTGACGTGTTGCTGTCTGGATTTTCTTTGCATGCTCATTGCCACGTACGCTACACTTTTGTCATACTGGGTATGGGGACTCATATTTACATATATGTTAAACTAGAAATTTTATAGTAACCGAAAATATTGGAGATAATTAATATTTGGGAAATATATGGTTACAATGCTGTCTGTAACACTAATGTAACGTTACCTATTTCCTAAAATGATAAAAAGCAAATTACATGCAACTAATCCTATTTGTCGATTTTACGGTTTCTCACTGTTCAAAATTTTATAGTAACCGAAAATCTTTTAAGGAGTGCTAACTGCATTATTTCATCTAGAATCATATGGTATCTTGCTGCAGCATGTGCTACGACCACTATATCATCCCAAAATTTTCTGGTCCATTTCCAACTGTTTAACAGTAAAACGTTTGCTTCTCCAATCAATCTCCATAATATCAAAATTTTCTGCTTCAAAATTTGCTGACCAAGTCACTTTAGTGTAACAAAATATTGTGATACTGTTGTGTTGAGCTAAAACGCCAGGGCAGTGTCGAGTGAATTCTTGGAATTTCTTGTCTACAAGTGATGTGAATTTGGAATCAAAAGAGGTGTTTTCTATCCAATGGTGCTCCTTTATAGCTTAAAAATAGATGCCACTCTCAATTAAATTGCAAGCTGCATGTAATATTTGGGGGATTAATTAGTTGGGACTGGTTTGTTTGTTCCTTTTCAGGGCTTTAGATAGTGTTGGCCTTCCTGCATGCTTTCAATTTTTTGATCTATGAACATTGTGGTTTTCATTGATATGGATTGATGGACACTATTAAGCACTCTAAAGGCTTCTAAATTTTAAAACCTCCTTAGAATTGGGCATCAACGTTCTTTTACAGCAGGCTTTATGCTCGCTTAAATGTTGGTGAATTTTGTTTTTCTTTCTTCAAATTTACAAATGATAAGGCAGGCATCTTTGGATCTTAATTTTTCAGTTCAAGAAATTCGACTTCTAAGTTCTATCTTTGCGATCATTAAAAAGAACAGAAGCAGACGACAATCTCAAGCTGCATTACTTATTTATTGCATGCATTTTCATGTTAATTAAGCACTGTTTACCGATCATATATGAGGTAAACTCAAAGCTGATTAAGGCCTTTTTTTATTGCATAGATACTTGCATAAACAGCTTGATGTGCTTACTTTTATACAAGCATACCGCTCACAAACCACTCTACTAGTGAGTGAAGTGAACTTGATCGCTAGCTAGGTAGCACATCATATGATCCTAAGACAGAATTTAGAAAAAGATTGATTGGGATTGACAATCGGGCAAGCGGCACTGTGTTTGTATCTCGAGTGCTTTCTTAGCCACTTGCTCTATCGTTTCCCGTTCAGCAGGGCCTCGCTGCTCTGTTTGCCTATCAAATACAGATTGTAAAGCGTCACACTGGCACTGACGGTCTATCTCCCTTAATCGCTGGCAGCATTGCTGAAGTTGCTGTTCCTCCTGTTGTTCTGGATTGTGGATCCCTCTCAGTGCTAACCTTGGCCTTGATTGTGATACATATTCCTCACATTGGCTCAAATCCGCTTTCCGAATCTGCTCACGGCACCTTCCAGATTCTCGTGACTTGCTGGACTGATCATCAAACTCGACGGTGGTGATGGTGGTTCTGTAAGCAGAGGCGTTGGCGACGAGGGCCAAGAGAATACAAGCTAGAGCTGCTGTTGCTAAAAGCCTTGCCATTTTGAGTAAGAAAGGAGTAGTTTGGATGAGTGAATGAGGTGATGGGCACAACGGGTTTTTATAGGGGAGTTTGGGCTGTGCATGTAGATAACGTGGAGGATGGAATGGCTGTGATTTAATGAGATGGCTATGAATGTTTTGATGGTTTGGCTGATGGTTACACGTCTAGATCCGCATGCAAATTCTGCCAAGAGATGATTTATTTGGTTTTTGTTTTGTTCAGTCAATTATCTAAGAGAATCAACCACGTATTGCTGTTGGATGGTTAAAGGGTTTCTACAATGTCCGAACGTAGCGTCTGTCTTGGCGAAATTAAGAGACTACGCCACTTAATTAGTCTTATCTATTATTTGGAATTGGCAATATAGAACTTTTGTTAAGGAACTAGATATTCGCATTCATATTGGGGCCCAGCATGCAAATTTTTGGAGTTTCTCTAGTCTTTAGGTACTGTCTCTTTGTTTGTGTGGTTAAGAAGCGTTTGCTTACATGCACATTACAAAAAAAAACTAAGTTATTACTACGTGTAACCACAACATGTACGTGTAACCTTTAGCCCACCATCTTCCAAAATCAAATTGCAGCCCATTTGTGTAGTTAAGAAGAGTTTCTCTTCTTTGCGTGATGAATCTTCAACAAATGCCTCTTCTCCTCGCAAAATTCCATAACCAAAACTCAAACCTGCATTTGCATAACTTTTAGAAAACTCACGAAGAAGAGAAGAAGAGAAAGGACTATGTGATTTTATGCTAGCTAAGGTTAATTTAATGATTTGTTTCTCTTTTAATGTCTTCCAAACAGGTATAGTATTGGGACCAACTGTAATGAGAAATTAATTGGGCAATGCATTCCATTTCGTGTTCCCTGTAACACCTAATGAAGTCATTAGTTTATTATCAAGGATAGATTACATTTTCTTCGTGTTCTTTGTTGGATCGGAGTACAAATGAACAAAACCTTGATATGGAAAAATAGACCGAAAAGCTTCTTTCTTCAAGGTGCTGATATTTGCAACCAATCCCGTAATGTGTGGGTCTATTGAGTTCATTTTTCCTAAAGCTAGTGGCTTGATTATCGGAACCATGACTTCAAAGGCAATTGCTAGGGCTACATATTTTCAATCAATTATCCAGACTGAATTTGTTAGAGTCAGTTACCTTTAAATGTACCTTAAGCTGATAAATTCACAGCTCAGATGCTTTGCTCTAGCTTCCTTAATGTGCAATCAATTATTGATTCTAACACTTGGAATTTTGAGTAATATCACTTGGATTTGGATTTGGCTTTTTATGAATTGAATTAGGTTTGTTAATTTTTAGCATTATAACTATTAGTGGGCGACATGTCAGCCTTTCAAATTAAATTTAAAATTTTTTACTATATGTCATCCTATGTAGATTTTTATCCAACGTGGCATCCTACATCTCATACCACATCATATGAACTTGAAATTTTGGACAAAAAATGGTCTGCTGTGCTAAAATGATTACTAGAAGCTTAATTCATTTATTTTCCATTCAATTTTAAAAGAACGTGCCAAAATGTTTAAAAAGATGCATAATTCATGTTTTTATGGTACAATCAGTCATTTAAAGTCAATACTTGTTACGAGAATATATCTTATATAAATAATAAATGCTTAACATATAAAGTTAAGTCAATCCACCACAAGGCTTTAATTTTTTTTGATAAAATCCAACCTCAACTATAAAATTTAATAATACTTTATTAGATATAATGGATCTCAATATTTAAGAATAGTTCCTATGAATTGCAGTGAGTACAAAAGTTATTAAGATTAGTGAGAAATCCGAGTACTATTATGCACATAAAGAACATGATGATTAATTCTTTGTAAAACACATACACATCGCAATATATTAAATGAGTTTTGCTATTGTTAGTTGTTGTTTGGTACGTGATCGTTGCATAAGGATCGGATAGTAGGTTTCATCTCAAACTCTATCACTTCTCTTTGTTTAGTTGATAAGAATAGTAATTACTTTGTATAACCTAAGTTATTACTTTGTATAATCTTATATAAATGTAAACGTGTATATATACATAATCATATTTGTTTATAAAAATCATCGGGAGGAATTCTTTCCATCTTATATTTTAACTTAGTATCAAAACTTGTAAATGATGTCTCCTTTGAACTCTAAAAACTCAAATCTTCTTTCTTCTTACTCACTTTCAACCTTAATTTTTTTTCTTCCCATGCTTAGTATACGTTTTCTATCAAATTAAAACTCTCAAACTTCTTAATCTAAAAAACTCAATTCACTCATACCCTTAATTATTATGGCCTAATCAACCATGTTGAAGGAGCCACTCCTAATTCCCTCCCACAACAAAATTTCAACACTAAAACTCATCTTTTATAACACAATCCAGATTTTATACAATAGTTTCAACATGCTTAGTTATTGTTTATTTAGATTCTCTCTTTTTTAATTAAGTGAAGATGTAATTCCATATGTTGTTGGTCTTACCAACTTCTATAATGTCTCGTAAATTCCTCAAAAAGCCTAGCAAATAACTAATGAATTATTACTCGCAGGTATGCCATTAGGCAAGGTCGAACATAATACAAATATTTTTCAATTATTGCCTAATGAGTATCATCTAATCACTACTATCTTTATTGTCTAAAAAGATTGTGTTATTTTTCTTGAGTTGTGTGGCTAGTTGATCTCTCATGAGAGTTTCTTTAGGTTTATTAGCTAAAAAATACCTTGAACTTTTATTCAACATGAGAAAAGTCATTGAATTTTAATTTTTCTTATATAGGTCCCAATCCTTTTTTTTATTTATTTGTTGATTTACAATCAATTCCTTCTTTACACTTAACCAATCGCGAGATAAGATTTTCATAAATGAGAGTCATGTGATCTAATAAAACATTGACACATGTTCTAAAGGAGATAATTCTAGACAAGTGAAACTAAGACACATCCACTAATTATTAAATGGCTAAAAAGCCCTCAATTGGTATTATTAATCTTGAGTTGAACTAGATGGTCTTTTCTTGTGTGATTCTTGCATGGTGTGAAGTCTTTTGGTTTACAAGGTTGAGTCACTAAAAGAAGAATCTTCCACAAACAAGCTTATAGAAATGTCAGTTATCTAGTCTCCCGCATCAACAACCCTTAATTCAACGTTGAAGGTCCTTGTTATATATCCTAAAAGAAGCTTAGCCACTTTGCCTAAACGAAGCCAAAATAAATAGGTTAGTACCTTAAGTTAATTCCATGACCAAAGGTTTAGAGATAACATAAAAATGCTTACATTAAGAAAATCATGCCATCGTGCTTCTCCTAAATATGGCCTAGATATACATATTTATAATAACATATGACACAATAGTGCATGCATCTCCAAATAACAAAAGACAAGCAATAATGGTAGTAATTGGTATCATTAAGGTTGTTGATGTAGGGGATCGGTGTGTTTTGTCAAAAAAAAAAAAGATTCGAAAAGAAAGAGATGAAAGAGAAAAATGTTTTGTAGGTTTGTTTTGTTTGGTATGCAAATGGGTATTTAATTTGAATGGGTTTTTTTATCATTTTACTTTCACATCCCTCTTACGTGTGATTAAAAATTGGTCAAGAGAAAGATAAAACTTGATTGCGGACTATAAAAATGATTAGGAACTTAAATAAAAAAAATTATAAATTATAAATTATTTTCTCGTTGAACTAAAGTTGAAAGTGTTTTTTAATCAATTAGTCTTTTGTTTATGACATTCAAAATGTTAGTTTCTCCAGGTTACCAATATAGCATGACATGAAGTATCCAATTTTAACAACAAAAACAATAACATATAAGAGCCATAGTTATGGTCCTCCAAATCAAAACAAGAAAAAAATGGCAACAATAATTTTAGACATCAATCTTTTAGTGGTCGAAACAATAATAATGGAGGCTTTTTTTGCCAACCATGTAATATTTGTGGCTAGCACAATCATAGTGCTAAATGATGTTGAAAACACTTTAACAAGTCTACTCGATCATTCTCCTTCAACAAACTTAGCTTCCTCTAATCAACATTCCAATTATATATTCTAATAAGTACCTTGATACTCGCTATTAGATGTCACATAATTCTTAACATTGCTAGCATGCAATTCTCTACTAATCACAAAGGTATAGATAACGTTTTCATAGATAATTGATCAATTCTCTATATTAAATATATTGATCAATAGTGCAAGCATCTCTAAGTAACGGAAAGACAAGCAATAATGGTAGTAATGAGTGTCATTAAGCGAGGATTGGTGTGTTTTGTCAAAAAAAAAAGGATAAAAAAAGAAAGAGATGAAAGAGAAAAATATTTCATAGTTTGTTTTGTTTATTATGCAAATGGCTATATGATTTGAATTGGATTTTTTTATCATCTTACTTTCATGTGACTCTTACGTGTAACTAAAAGCTGAAAATTGGTCAACGAGAAGGAAGGATTTGATTGCAAATTATCAAAATGATTGAGGATTTTTTTCTTTGATCAAAATTCACGATAGTTTTTTATCAATTAGCTTTTTACTTTAAGACATTCAGAATGCTTTTAATTTTCTCATTTTCTCAATATATCACGACATAAAGGACTCAATTTTAACAACCAAAACAACAACAATGGCATCCATAACTATGGTCCTCCTCCAAATCAAAACAATAAAAAAAGGCAACAATAATTTTTGATAGAAATCTTTTAGTGATCGAAATAATACTAATAGAAGGCTTTCTCATCCACCATGTGTCATAGTTATGGCTGGTGCAATCACATTGTTAAATGGTATGGAAAAAACTTTAAAAAGTCCACTTATTCTCCTTCGGCAAACTTGCTTTCCTCCAATCAAAATTCCTTTTATGTATTATGATTGGTAACTTGATACTCTTCTGCTAGATATTACATAACTCTTGACGACGCTAGCATGTATGTGTCTACTAATTACAAAGGTATAAACAAAGTTTTCATAGATAATTGATCTATTCTCCTTATCAAATATATTGATCAAAAGTGCAAGCATATCTAAGTAACAAAAAGACAAGTAATAGTGATAGTAATGAGTATCATTGAAGGTTGTTGATGCAAAGGCTGGTGTGTTTTATCCAAAAAGTAGATAAGAAAAGAAAGTGATGAAAGAGAAAAATGTATCATAGGTTTGTTTTGTTTAGTATGCAAATGGCTATATGATTTGAATTGGATTTTTTTTATCATCTTACTTTCTCGCGACTCTCACATGTAACTAAAAATTGAAAATTGGTCAACGAGAAGGAAGGATTTGATTGCAAATTATAAAAATGATTGAGGAATTGAGGAACTTTTTTCTTTTGATCACAAATTCATGATACTTTTTAATCAATTAGCTTTTTGCTTTAAAACATTCAGAATGTTAGTTAATTTTCTCATGTTGCCGAGTATATCATGACGTGAAGGATTCAATTTTAACAACCAAAACAACAACAATGGTAGCCATAATTATGGTCCTCCTCCAAATCAAAACAATAAAAAAGGCAACAATAATTTTGGAAAGCAATCTTTTAGTGGCCAAAACAATACTAATGTTAGCACCCAATTTTGGGTTTCAAAAAAAAGGAAGTAAAAAAAATATATATATATATATATATATATATATATATAAGGGTGCGATTGAAGAAGAGAAGAGAAAAGAAGCAAAATAAAGTTGGTTTGTAAAACAAAGGACCAAAAAGACTTTTAGCTAAAAAGTACTAAAAATCTAGTATAAAAGCCCCATTTTTTCTCCCACAAAAGGCCAGCTATCGTTCATCATCTTAAAAAAAACGTACCACTAGCCGCCGACCTCCACACACACCGGCCCCACCCACGCCGGCGGTGTCTCCACCGGCCACGGCTCCACACACGCCCGTTGTTCTACCGGCCCACGCCCCGGCACGCGGCGGCTTCTCGGCCGGACGCATCGACCACTATGCGAGCAACACTCCGGTGCACGCCAAGCATAGCGCACCCAACGACGCCCCGTGCCACTTCCGCGGCGGCTCTCGTCTACCTCGCCCTCTCCTCGCCAACGCCTCGCATAGCCACGGGCCGAGCCTCCTCGC